CTCGCTCGAGTGCACACACACTCGATATCCCACTCCTACTTGACCCCTGGTATCCTAAGGATTCTTACTTGGGCTGCGCACTGATCCGGTGCCTTCGGTAGTACGGGCCCAATACTACCGTCCACACCGCATCAATATTCACCCCAAGTCCTCCTCCTACGATCCCAAGTCCCAACTACTCTACTCTCTCTATACATAATCTACCCTCTAGCATATCTATCATAAGCTCCTCGCTGCTATCTATTCACTCTCAAGCACCTCCTAGCAGCAAGATCCCTAGGCTAAGGCATCACAATCAGGCCACTCTAGTCCTAATAAGAATACCTAGCCTACTCTAGCATGCATATCATATCATAACATATCTCATAACTCATAATGTAAGGGTATTTTGGGAAATCACCGTTCGGGCGCTGGTTGATCGTACACACTGCTCTGCTCTGCTCTTTCAAAAACTTTTTACTCTTGAGAAAATTTTTGTGAATTTTTATTTTGAAAACCTCTCAAATCCTCAGTTTGAGTCCAGATATGCCTGAAGGTGCACCTGAATCCCTCAAACCAAGGATCTGATACCAACTTGTAACACCCAAATTTTCAAATAATTTTTCTTATTTTATAAAAACACATTTTCATCCAAAATTGTTATAAAAACACCATTGTATCACATAGTCAAATCATAACATCACATCCCAAGATCATAATATAAAAACTTCTCGTGTGTGTACTGATCAAGCCGGCGCCTTCCCACGATACTCACTGGTACCTGAAACACATAACACAACACTGTAAGCATAAATGCTTAGTGAGTTCCCCAAAATACCACACACAACACATATTAGCCACTCGAGGCTATAACTCTTTTTGACGCTCTGGTCAACGTGTCTCAGTGGGACCCTCCAGTCCCATAACTCTGGGGGCCCTCTGGCCCTAACTCTGTGGACCTTCCGGTCCTAACTCTGTAAACTCTGTAACATGCATAGCATACATCACATAGAAATCACATCATGCAAAAGCATACAAAATACTCTGTCACATAACTCTAATTACCATCTAGGTAAAGTATAGTGAGAAGACTCACCTCGGGTAATTCGGTAAAGCTCGAACTCTGTAAAATCGGGTCTAGCCTCCGCCTAATCATATAAAATAAACACTCTAAATCAATACGTCTCTTAAGGCTAGACTATTCCTCCTCTTAGTACTCTCAGAAGGGTAAAAGACCATTTTACCCCCTCCATGGCTCAAAGACCCTAAAGTTGACCAAACCCTAAAAGTCAACAAAAGTCAACCCTCCGGGTTACGCTGCGCGTACTAAACATGTACGCTGGGCGTACCCGGCGTCCTCACAGAAACGGGGTGCGAGACCCCTTACGCTGCGCGTACTGGAATTACGCCCCGTGTAACTCCCAATTTCAGTCCTTCAGCTCTTGAGGTCTTAAACAGTTAAGACTCACGTCCAACTTCTAGATCTGACCATTTCTAAGCCTCTTAATCCATAAAGTCGATGAGTTTAAGCCTTTGCATGGCTGAACAAGTCACTAACACCCGAAATATTCCATTTCTAGCCCTAGAAAGCTCAAAACTCTAGCATGTCCTCATATCAACGACCAAGATGGAAACTTTATGGATCTAAAACACAAATATCACTGACAGGGGACAGATCTCGGACCATGGAGCACCTTACACTCATAAAGTCTCCACCTTTGGGACTTTTAACCCTAGAAATGGCCCATGCAACAACAAACCAAAAGAGGGGGAAAGTTTTGAACTTTATACTTCTAAAAGCAGCTCCTTCCTCTGTAGATCTCAGATCCAAACTTGCACTTCAAGCTCTAGCCTCCACAAGCTCCTCTCCTTCTTCTTCACTAACACCCCAAGGCACTTGTAGTTCCAAAATCACACACACTCACTAAGGACGATGGAAAGTTCTCTCTTAGGGTTTTACTCACTGCTATGGAGGCTGAGAAATGAGCCTTAGCATCCAATATATAGTGCACAAGTCAGAAATTAGGGTTTGGATCTGGACACATTACGCCCAACGTATCCCTGGGTACGCCCAGCGTACTCAGGCGAGTCCGCGTCCAAAATAAGTGCATGAGTACGCGCAGCGTACTCTTGAGTACGTCCAACGTACTCATTTGCTACCAATTTCCCTTAAGGGCTAAACTTGACACTTTGAATAAAAAGAAGGGTTAAATTGTTGTACCTGAATTTCGGGATGTTACAATTCTCCCCCACTAGAACCAGACTTCGCCCTCGAAGTCTCATGCTGCAAACAACTCCGGGTACTGCTCTCGCATCTCTGACTCTAGCTCCCAAGACAACTCGGACCCTCTCCGATGTTGCCACTGGACCTGAACCAGAGGCACCTCCTTGTTCCTCAGAACCTTGATCTTCCGATCCATAATCGCGATTGGCCTCTCAGCATAATTCAGGCTCGCATCCACCTGAATATCCTCCAATGGTACCACTCCCGACTCGTCGGCTATGCACTTCCTCAGCTGAGACACGTGGAAGGTATCATGAATCTGGCTCAACTCCGCAGGTAGCTCCAATCGATATGCTACCCTGCCCACCCTCGCAATAACCCTGAACGGTCCAACGTACCGGGGCCCCAACTTGCCCCTTTTCCTGAATCGGATCACTCCTTTCCAAGGAGACACTTTCAGGAGTACAAAATCTCCAACCTGGAACTCGAGCTCGGATCGACGCCTATCCGCGTAACTCTTCTGGCGACTCTGGGCCGTCAGCAATCTCTGTCTAACCTGTCGTATCTGCTCTGTCGTCCGAAGCACTATCTCAGTGCTGCCCATCACTCGCTGCCCTACCTCTCCCCAACAAATGGGCGCCTTGGCGATAGGCGCTGCCCCCGGAACCAAATCGATGCGGAACTCCACCTGCCTCTCGGGAGGCACACCCGGAAACTCCTCAGGGAAAAAATCCGGGAACTCACGCACTATCGGGACCTCATCAACCGACCTCGGTCTCTCTGCACCAACCCTCGTATCTACCACATAAGCCACAAACCCACTACAGCCCTGCTGTAGACTCTGCCTCGCCCTCACGGCTGAACAAAATGCTGACCCACAATGGGTACCCTCGCCATAAACCGTAAGAACTCCCCCACTAGGGTCTCGTATCCTCACCAACTGTCGCTTGCAGTCGATCACAGCTCCAAAACGACTCAACCAATCCATGCCCACTATGACACACACGTCCCTCATTGCAATCGGGACCAGATCTATCGGGAACTCGACACCGAAGATCTCGAGTACACATCCTCGAATCACATCAGTAGCATACACCGCTCGCTCGTCAGCTATGGAAACTCGTAGTGGTCGACTCAACGCCTCACGCTGGGTACTGATGTGCTGACTAAACGCTAGTGACACAAAAGACCGACTCGCACCCGAGTCAAATAACACCAAGGCAGGTACAGAACACACAAGAAATGTACCTACGCATATCACAATATAAGCATAACACCACAAACTCAAAATAAACAGAGGAAAGAATACATACCAGCTACAACATCGGGTGCTGCGCGGACCTCCTCCGCTGTTAACTGGAAGGCTCTCCCGCGAGCCTTCGGCGCCTCGGCCTTCACCGGCCGACTCTCTGTAGCTCGAACAGCAGCAGGGACAGATCCCTGAGAAGCTCCCTGAGCTGACCCTCGTAACTGCGGACACTCGGCCTTCCGGTGTCCGGTCTGGTTGCAGAGAAAACAAACTGTAAATCCCTTGGGGCAATCCTTGGCCATATGCCCCTCCTTGCCACACTTGTAGCAAGACCCTGCTCTGCATACCCCCTCATGTCTCTTGCCGCACTTGCCACAAGTGCGGCCCTTCTGGTTCCCTAATCTCGAATCGGCGGGCTTAGCCCGCTTGGCAGCCGGCTGGGACTGTGCAGGTCGCCCATCCCTTCCCTGAGACTCCGCCTCCTCCCTAGCCTGAGTCTCTAGCTCAATCTCCCTCTTTCGGGCATTTGCCTGAAGCTCGGCAAATATCCCGTATGTCGAGTTCGCCACGAACTCGCGGATGTCTCTCCTCAAAATACTCAAATACCGACTCATACGTGCCTGCTCGGAAGACACGTGCTCAGGGCAGAACATCGCCCTCTCATGAAACATCCTGGTGATCACTGTAACAGACTCGGTGTCCTGTTTGAGGGTCAGAACTCCTGGGCCAAACGTTCCCTCTCCACCAGGGGTACGTACTCATCTCGAAACATAGTGGTGAACCTCTCCCAGGTCACCGCAGCGTGCTCTGCAGAAGTGAAGTGTGCTGTCACAAACTTCCACCAGTCCTTCGCTCCCAAGCGAAGCTGGTTCAAAGCGAACCGTACCCTCAGGTGCTCCGGACATAAATATGTGTAGAAGCACCCCTCAATGTCAGAGATCCACCTCATCGCAGCTATCGGATCCTGAGTCCCATCAAACTCTGGTGGCTTCGTGTTGCTGAACTCTCGGTACAGCAACCAGTCACCCCCCTGTGGCCTCGCAGCAGCGACGACTGCGGTGGCCGCAGCAACAACAATCAGTAAGAGCAGCATAGCGCTCGTCAAATGTCTCGATCAGGGTGGTCTTGATAGACCCAAACATCTCTGGTATCTTGGCTCTGATGGCAGCAGCCACCTCCTCGTGAATCAATCTGCGGATCTCCTCGTCACTAACACTACTGCTCCCAGAAGTGTAGCGTGTCCCAACCATGATGTCTCTCTGAAATACAACACAAAAATATCAGAGACTCGCTCGAGTGTACACACACTCGATATCCCACTCCTACTTGACCCCTGGTATCCTAAGGATTCTTACTTGGGCTGCGCACTGATCCGGTGCCTTCGGTAGTACGGGCCCAATACTACCGTCCACACCGCATCAATACTCACCCCAAGTCCTCCTCCTAGGATCCCAAGTCCCAACTGCTCTACTCTCTCTATACATAATCTACCCTCTAGCAGATCTCTCATAAGCTCCTCGCTGCTATCTATTCACTCTCAAGCACCTCCTAGCAGCAAGATCCCTTCTTGAGAAGTTCGTTAAGCTGACTGGAAAGTTCCTGCGTCTCTGTTGGTGCCAGTCGATATGGAGATTTGGCTACTGGAGTAGCCCTTGGCACTAAGTCGATTCTGAACTCGACTTGGCGTTGAGGTGGTAATCCCGGTAGTTCTTCTGGAAAGATGTCGGGAAAGTCGCGTACTTCTGGGATGTTCTGAATGTCTTTCACTTCTTGACTCGTATCGACTATGTGTGCCAGGAATGCATGATTCTCCTTTCGCAAGCACTTCTGAGCTTGGATACACGAAATGATGTGAAGGTTCGTACTAGGTTTGTCGCCGTAGATAACTAGAGTTTCGCTGTTAGGGAGGTTAAGACGAACTGCTTTCTCAAAGCACATGATGTCGACGCGACGATGACTTAACCAATTCATGCCGATTATGACGTCGAAACTTTTAATTGGGACCGGCATGAGGTCTATTTTGAAAGTATGATCATCTAGAGTTAGAGTACAACCTACGTATATGCAGTTAGTACTTTCCGTTTTCCCGTTTGCCATTTCTATAGTGAATGGTTCATCTAGTGCACATGGTTTTTGTCTAAGCAAGTGTGTAAATTTCTGGTTTACGAAGCTTTTCTCCGCTCCACTGTCGAAAAGTATGCATGCATAAGAGTTATCGAGGAGAAATGTACCAGCGGCCACTGTGGGGTCGGCAACCGCTTCCTCGTGGCCTATGGCCAGAACTCTTCCTACTCCGCCAGCTATCCCTGCCTTAGGGAAGTTCCTCTTGTAGTGGCCCACTTCGCCACAACCGTAGCAAGCTTGGCCCACACCGGCGTTAGGAACTTGAGCGATCGGCCTTGCTGGAGTCTTGCAGAAACGGGCAGTATGCCCCCTTCTGTTGCAGTTAGTGCACTACATTTCCCGGCAAGGTCCGTTGTGGTGGAAGGTGCATTTGTTGCACTTCGGAAGATTACCGGCATAAGGCTTAGCTGGTAAGGGATTAGCAGGGACAACAGGAGTTACCGTGGCAGCATTGATTGTAGTAGGTGTTGTCTCTTTGAGGATTCTTGCGAAGTCCCGCTTTTCCTCTTGTTCCACCCCTTTTTCTTGTTGTTGTTGTTGTTTCCCTTTTGTTGCTCGGGTGTAGTAATCGTTGGGTTCTGGTAGTTTCCATGATCGATAATAGATTGTGCCAGCTCTTTAGCGCTGTCAAAAGTAACAGGCCTTGATGCTAACACACTTGACTGGATCTGGGGCGACAGTCCCCAAATATATCTCTCTATTTTCTTGCTCTCAAGAGCAACCATATCCGGGCAAAGAATTGCCATATCACATAATCTATTAGTATAGGTTGATATGTCAGAACCAACCATTACTAGACCCCAGAGTTCTTGCTCGAGTTTTTGAATCTACCCTCGTGGACAGTACTCTCTCATCAGCATGGCTTTCAAGTTCTCCCAGCTTATCGAATTTGCCACTATTAGAGTCAGTGACTTAACGTGGCCATTCCACCAAGTTAAAGCCCTTTCAGAAAAGGTACAAGTAGCAAACTTGACTTTATTGTTCTCTGGGCAGCCGCAGATTTCAAAGACTGCTTCTGTCTTTTCTATCCACTGCCTTAAAATCATAACCCCTCCAGTTCCATTGAAATTCCTGGGTTTGGCATTCGTAAAATCTTTGTAAGTGCATTCTCGGGGGTGCCCATGACTCTCGCCATGGTTAGAAAGAGGTGCCCCAGTTCCCGATCCACTAGGGACAGGAGTATTGATGTATGACATGGGAGCCGCTACGGCCGCCGTGACAGCTGCTTGGAACATAGCAACGTCGAACTGAGGAGGTGGTGGAGGTGGTGGTGGTATCGGTGTTTCGTTATTATTGTTACGCCTTGGATTTCTGCGAGGAGGCATCTTTTAACTTCAAGTTTAAAATATAGAAACAATTATAAGAATCCAATAGTATAGAGAATGAAAGTGTCTTGTGAACTAAGTCGCCATAGTTCGATATCAAATGAGAGTATGAATTTCTGAATAGATTAGATAACTGCCGAAATTACTGGTATAAAAGATGTAAATAAGTTCGGGAAAATGACCTAACTATAGGTCTTACATCATACCATAAGGAAACTGTCGGCAGTTTAGAAGTCTAATAAAGTACTTGAGAGACAGGAATATTTTACAGAAGAGTGTTACTTAGAGCTCAGTTAGGAAAGGCTATTCCTTATATCAAAAGAAAAGATGTACTAGACATCTTCTACCGGCGACGGGAATTCCTGGGGATAATCCCCATATCCGCCAGTTGAGGTACCACTTCTTGGAGATGTCGCTCGTGAGCCCTCTGACGAACTCGAAGTTCTAGGATTTCGGTCCGAGATGCAGCTAACTGTTGCCGTAGAGTCTCATTGGTTCTTCTCGTCCCTTCGACAGCGTCTTCCAGATGTCGAATGCGGACGGTGTTAACGCCTGAGTTGGCATCAATTTCCATGACTCGGTCGATGGCTGCTCGACCTTGCTCGACGTTCCGAGCAATCCTACGGATCATAACAGGTCGAGCTCGATCCGCAGAGCCACCTCTGCTAAGGTCATAGAAGCTTCGGTCCCTATAGTAGGGTAAGGGTTGACCCTGTTCGTCGCTCCAGCGATTCAAGTTTGTTGCCCACAAGGGTGTGGGACCTTGAAACGCGGGTTGGGGGTTGAGATTTGGGGCCTGACCCACTTGGGGTAGGTTGTTGACTTCAGGCTCTGAGTCAGAACTATCAGAAAAGCCTTCAGCATGGTGATCATCCAAAGGGATTGGGTGATCATCTTCTGGTTCTTCCTCTAGCCATCCAACATTGCCTTCGTTTGGGAAGTACGGGTCGCCGTGGGGATGGAATCCAGCCATAATATGTATGCGAGAAAAGGGGTACAAGAAGTAATTAATAGACGTACTAACTAAGATAATTATAAGATGATCTTTATCAGTTACTTCAATACTTGTTTAGTGCATACTAGTTATATGTGCTCAAAACAGGATAGACCTTCGAATAAGTGACCCTAACTCTAAGCCCACAACCAAAACAAGGAACAAGAAGAAAAGCAAAGATTCACAGATTCTAAGTCTATGACGCCCTAGATACATATAGCCTTAGTGTATCCACTTAGCAACTATTGACCTACTGATAAAGACCTTTTTAGTTCGCAGATAAGTAATTATAGTAACACCAAATACTCCCATAGTATTTCATTGTGGTAGTGTTGGTAAGTTTTTAGACTTGTTGCCATATCACAACCATTCTTGGGCATATGCTAATCACTCCTCGGACCAGCATAGTTGATCAGGCTATGCCACTCCCAGGACTGACCATACATCCCCGAGCTTACTTGTGATATTCAACAATCGTAATACTTTTGTTTTGTCATTGTGACACTGATCTTAGTATGAATGCAGGCATGTATACTTAGTTAAATATTTTATTATTTAAAAGTATAAACTCTTGGTCAGAGTATTTTAATCCCATTGTATTTATAGTCAGTATATCTTTTATGGGTTGATATACTCAATTCACTATAAACAATGCTCTGATACCAATCTGTCACACCCCAAAACCAAGAACGGCGGAAACGTTCAGGGGTGGAGGACGTCATGTAAAGTATCATAACAGTTCAAAGTAGTAAACAAGCAACAACATCATCCATTGCATTAAAATTAAATTTTTAATACATGAGTGTTCTTTCATAGTAATAAGACACCAAAATATGTAATCAAAATAAAAGACGAGTCTTGTCTGTACTCCGTCTTCTCAAAACCTGGTCATCGTACCTGTCTACGAGTGACCTGAGAATACAAGTTATTTTGAAAGCGTAGATCAGCATAAAGCTGGTGAATTCATAAGTATTTTAGTGTCATTGATTTGTAAAGCTGTTATGAAAGACTTGCAAATGTTTAATGAAACATTTAGTATAAGTGTGAAAACCCTAGAAAATCCCATATTTCCTACTAGTATAAACGGTAGTCTTCTACCAAGACCCGAATGCTTTGAAGGTTTGCATTTCTGTATCAATGAAGGTTTTTCCCATATACAACTATTATTATAAAAATATAGTCTACCTCATCGTTTATGTGAATGTGTCACAAAATAAAAGTAATAGGGAAATTATATAATCATTGAAATCGTATCCTTTTGCTTTAGGATAATCACGACGTGGAAACTTGCCGAACAGTACAACCGAGAACATCCGTCGATGAACAGGTCCCGCTGTAGCTAGCAGCCAGGTATAGGATGGTCAGTCCCATATAGTATATATAGTATCTCTCTCTGTATAGTATATAGTATTTCTCTCTGTATAACAAGTAATAGTATCTCTTCATATAGTATTTAGTATATTTGTATAGACTCATGAATGAACTGACTCTTGTGTAATTCCTTGTACTAGGAATGGTAATTTGTATCCCCTAAACTATACCTATAATAGTTTACTGGAATGTAGATTGAATGTCCAAGTAGGTTTATACACCCTTGCTACTCAAGAGTGTTGGAACTGAAGAAAGAATGAAAGCCCTCATATCAATACATATATACATGAAACATAAGTGTATAGATATGGTTTTTATCAATAAGTTGAAAGAGGTTTTGTAATACATTTAAGTGTTTTGAACAATAAATAATAATGACTTGATGTCGGTTTATAAAACGATTCAAAAGTAGTTTATTTGATAACAAAGTATAAAATAACTGAAAACCATTGCATTTAACACATTTTGAAGTATGTGAAAATCAGTTGGTTGAAAACACCGTTATAAATCACATGCGATTGATTCTATAACTTCCTGTTTTCTACTTGTATTCCCCCCCATGAAAGCATTTAAAATCATTTAAAATGATTGATTAAGGGGTATGAACTCACCTGTAGTGAGTAACTCGAATGAAAGATCGATATAGGATTGTTGGGTGTCAATTGGAGTCTTGAGCACAAACAAATCCTATTTAACATATAATTACACATATATGAATACATTCCATGTACATAACCGCTAAAAGTGTTAGGGACACGCCTTAGGGACATAAAAACACTTAGAATTAAGTGTTACAACCATATATGATTGTATATAAGGGTTATATGGCTATACAAGGGAGTGTATGGTCAAAATGCACAACATTTATGTGTGTGCGGCCAGGGTATGCGGCCAGGATGTGTGTGCGGCCGCACACTCCCTATGAAATGTGCCAAAACGTATTTTAAGGCTTTATGACTCATCTAGGAAGGTTTCTTACTTCATGCCTTAGCCTTTTATGGAGTTTATTGCCATTTTTGGACCTAAAAAGGGTGTGTGCGGCTACACATGGTATGTGCGGCCGCACACCCTTTATGAAGATGATAAAATTGAGTTTTTCTAGTATATCATCAAGTGTTCTTAGCATATAACAAGTTATGATAAGTGTATACACGTTATAGAGGCTTGAAAGGGTGATTAAGGTCCAAAACTAGTGTGTGTTCTTGGTGCTCTTGGTGTTCTTGGCTAAAAATGGATGTTTTCATGGATCAAACCAAAGGGTTTTGCTAGTTAGGGTCGTGTATCAACAAATAAAAGGAAGGATTACTACCTTTTATGAAGATCAAGATGAAGATTTGGATGATACTTGAGAGGATTTCGAGTTCTAGCTTTGAAGAAATGGAAAAGTGTTCAAAAATGGCTAAGTGTTCTATATATAGGTGGGAGTGTGCGGTTGGGATGGGTGTGCGGTCGCACACACCTGTGTGTGGCCGTACACTCAAGTGTGCGGCCGCACACTCCATGTGTTGGAGTGTTTTGCCCGATTTTGCTTGATATGCATCGTGTTATCCCATTTCTAGGTTCCTACCTTAATTGTACTGGGTTTAGAACACTCAAATAGACCCCAAATAGTGCTAAAAGCTAGCGAAATGAGTCTATCTTTGATTAAATTGATCCAAATGATCGAGATAGAAATTTCGGGTTGTCACATTGTGTAAGGCTATCCATATCCCCTTTTCAATCTAACAATACCCACTAATCAATACTTATAATCATTAACCTAATAATCAAGTAATAATTACATAGAATCTTTTACTTTTTGACTTATAATTATTAATAATTATAAAATAATAATAAACTAGATGTGTTTACCCCGCTTTCAGGAATTGGAAGGTGTTGTTTTTGTGTAAATTTATACAACATTTTCTGAATTGGTAGTCACATTAAAGTATGTTGCTATTCTCTACAACTCGCCCATTTACAAATGCATAATAGTCAAATATGTTGTACTATGCCAAAAAAAATGAATGTGCATTGCTATTTTTTAATTACATGACTATAATTGAAACCGCTTTTCAAATTATATAGTTCTAACAGTTTTGATTCAAGAAATTTGTGAAGGCTTATTATTTGATATGAACAGCATACACATATGGTTTCCACCCCTCCAGTTATCTCTTTGTTCATATACCGATACCTAAAACAAAAACAAAAGAACATATTATAACTCATCATGGTAAATTACATTAACATTTTTACTAACCATTTCTGTGGCAGTAGTTCCAATTGTAGCAGAATCATTGAATCATACGATTCTGATAAGCAGAAATTGCAAACATATATTTAAAAGAGTGAAGCATATTAGGTGAACATGCAAATATCATCACTACCAAATAAAGAAAATGCACCATATTACATATCTCCCTGTAGAGTCTTAGGTGTAGTGAAATGGCACCAAATTCAACATAATCTAGGGTTCCTTTTCCATTCATATCCACCTGCAACCAAATACACAAATATTGAATAAAGATTTACAAAAGTGAAAAACTTGAAATTTTCAAAAAATTTAAAGACTCACAGCTTCAATAAGCAACTGTATTTCCGAATCTACAAGTTGTAAGTTTCTTTGACCCAGAACTAAACCTCATTGTTTGAT